TGTTTTCCACTGCCCACTGGAAAACCCTGTTTATGTCTTCCTGTACTTTTTCAATGTCCTCTACTGTACTGACTTTCATGCTTATTTTAGTGTCATCTGCAAATGATACAAAAGTGTGCCGTGTGTTTTTGTCTATGTCAGCTATGAGGATGAGGAACAGCAGAGGTGCCAGGACAGTGCCTTGGGGCACTGAGCTTTTGACCTCGCTGATGCTGGATCTTGCCCTGTTCACTACTACTTTTTGTGTTCTGTGTGTTAGGAAACTGAAAATCCATCTGCCTATCTTCCCTGTAATGCCCATGGCCTTCATTTTGTGCGCTATCACTCCATGATCGCATTTGTCAAACGCCTTTGCAAAATCTGTGTAAATCACATCTGCGTTTTGGTCGTCTTCCAGTGCCTTCGTAATTCTGTCATAATGGTTCAGCAGCTGTGACAGACATGATCGTCCTGCTCTAAAACCATGCTGGTTTGGGTTATGTTGGTTGTGCTGGTCCATGAAATTTGTAACCTGCCGTCTCGTCACTCTTTCGAAGATTTTTATGATGTGAGAGGTTAGGGCTACTGGTCTGTAATTTTTAGCTAGTGCTCTACTGCCTTCCTTGTGCAAAGGAGCTATGTCTGCACTCTTTAAGGCCTCTGGTATTTCACCTAGATCTAAGCTCTTTCTCCAAAGAATACTGAGGGCTCGTGCTAGTGGTACTTTGCACTTCTTTATAAATAGAGCATTCCATGAATCTGGTCCAGGTGCTGAGTGAGTGGGCATGTTTTCCATTTCTTTTTCGAAATCTATGGGATTTGTGCTAATGTCAGTTAGTTGGTCTGTGCGGCCTTCTTCTGGAGTGAAAAATATTTCTGCATTTTCTACCTTGTTGTCATTTAGTGGGTTGCTGAACACCGACTCATACTGCTCTTTTAGGATTTCACTCATTTCCTGTTCATCGTCAGTATATGAGTCTCCTCTCAGTAGTGGTCCAATTCTACAGGTAGTTCTTAGCTTGGATTTTGCGTAGGAATAGAAATATTTTGGATTTCTTGCAATATCCTGTATGGCCTTTTGTTCCCTTTATACTTCTTCTGTGAGGTATGACATCCTAAGATTTTGCTCTAAATCAGTGATCTCTCTGCTAAGTCTATCTTTCCTCTGTTGTAGCATGTTTGTGTTTTTAAGAAGTTCAGTAACCTGTTTTCTTCTTCTGTACCATCTCCTACGCTCTCTCTCTATATCTGATCTTCCTCTGGGTTTCCTCAATGGTACATGTTTCATACATACTTTGTATGTTTCTGTATTCAGCTTCTCTAGGCACTGGTGGGGATTTAGGTCGCTCATGTCTGATTCCCAGGGTATGTCTGATAACTCTTGGTTTATTTTTTCCCAGTTAATTCTATGGTTGTTAAAATTAAACTTACTGAACATCCCGTCTCTAACTTTAGCGATGCAGTTTCCTACCCCTGAGTTAATACTAGTTTGAACCTCTATGATGTTACGATCAGAGTAAATAGTTTTGGAAACTGTTATGTCTCTGATCAGTTCCTCGTTGTTTGTGAATATCAAATCCAGGGTATTTTCATTTCTAGTGGGATCAGTTACCTGTTGGTTTAAAGAGTACTTTTCACAAAACCTCATTATTTCCCTGGTATGTACCTGTTGAGCCAGGGTGCTTCCCGGGGATATTTCTGGTATAACATTACGTTGTGCCATCTTCCATTTTACATGAGGGAGATTAAAATCTCCAAGGAGTAAAATATTTGGTGTAGGACTTTCTAGCCTATCCAGATAGCTATCTATCTTACTTAACTGATCTGTGAATTCCTCAGCAGTTGCCAATGGCGGTTTGTATACAAAGATAATTACCAAATTCCTATTTTCAACTTTAATGTCTAGAATTTCTACTATATCATTCATAGAATTCAGCACTTCTGTGCAACATAAAGTATCCTTTACATAGATTCCTACTCCTCCCTGTGACCTATTGATTCTATCACATCTATACATGTAGTTTTCTATCTTTATTTCTCTGTCCAAAACATCCCTTGTATGTGTTTCTGTAAATGATCCGAACATGGCATTCGCTTCTGTCAGGAGCCCACTGACCTAACTAACTTTGTCATTTTTATTTGATTTCAAACCCTGTATATTTGCAAATATGAAGCAGGAATTACCAAGTGGGATGTTTTGTCTCGCTTTGTGTTTCATTAGTACCACTGGTGGTGTACTACCTGGTATGCCCACTGGTGTATACTCCCCTGGTTTCTCCAGTACTGGCTTTGCATTTGTTTGCTTATTCGGCCTTGAGCCCACCTGTCCTCTCTTACCATTCCCCCTGTTTGTCTCTTCCTTTGTTTTGATCTTTTCTCTTTTTGTCTAAAAAAAAGAATGCTGTTCAATTTCCCTTTCTCTGCTAACTCTGTAGTGCCACGTTCCTTTTACATGATGGTCTGGGCAGCTCAGGTCATAACATTCTCTGGACTGCGTTGAAGCTTTACACATTACTGGATGGAAGTACAGTGGACCCTCAGCTAACGATGGCATCAACTAACGTTAAATCCAGGTAACGATACATTTTAACGCAAAAATTTTGCCTCGGCTAACACTAAAAAACTCGCCCAATTCGATTCGTTCAAGACGCGTCCACATGTGGCCTGAGCGCGCCTCAGTTGTCCCGTGGGTGCCAGTGTTTACAAGCCAGCCAGTGTGGTCGCATCCACGCATACAATCGGAACATTTCATATTATCACAGCGTTTTTAGTGACTGTACCTGCAAAATAAGTCACCATGGGCCCCAAGAAAGCTTCTAGTGCCAACCCTGTGATAAAAAGGGTGAGAATTAGTATGGAAATTAAGAAAGATTTTGAAGGGTTTGGGGCTAACCCTGAGATGCCTATGCCAGTTGTGGAATCCATTGTGCCTACTTCAAAGATTAAGGAAATGTGTGCAAAGTGGGTTGAACTGCAAACCTTTATGGATGAAAATCACCCTAACACAGCTATTGCAAGCCGTGCTGGTGACTATTACAATGACAATATTGTGGCCCATTTTAGGCAAATCTTAAAGGAACGGGAGGTACAAACCTCTATTGACAGATTTGTTGTGCGACAGAGGTCCAGTGACTCTCAAGCTGGTCCTAGTGGCATTAAAAGAAGAGGGGAAGTAACCCCAGAAAAGGACTTGATACCTTAATTCCTAATGGAAGGGGATTACCCTTCTAAACATTAACAACTTCCACACTCTCCCCTCCTCCCATCCCATCAATCATCACCAGATCTTCAATAAAGGTAAGTGTCAGTTTGTGTGTATTAAAATTAATATTTCATGTGGTAAAAATTTTTTTTTTCATACTTTGAGGTCTTGCATGAAATAATTTGATTTCCATTATTTCTTATGGGGAAAATTAATTCAGCAAACGATGAGCTTTCAGGAATGGATTAATATCGTTAGCTGATGGTCCACTGTATTTGCACTCTTTGTTGAAACGACACTTTCCCTTCCTCAACATGTTTGCACATTTTCTGGTGTGTTTATTCCAACAATCTCTGCCATATAGGCACATACCTTTAGCATAGTAACTGCAAATGTTCTGACTACCTATATTTATTGATTCCGTGTCGTTCCTAAGTTCTGCCACCTGTTCTGAGTTCCCTTGTTCACTTTCTTCTAGGCTAATTTCTTCCCAATGAAAAGCAGGGGTGCCACAATACACTGTGAGACAACACAGTAAGTGTCCAGGACCCAAGACTGTTCAGCTGCCTCCCAGCATATAAAAGGGGGATTACCAATAGACACCTGACTGTCTGCAAGAAGGCACCGGACAGGCGCCTTGAGTCAGTACCTGACCAGCCGGGCTGTGGTTCGTATGTCAGTTTGTGTGCGGCCAGCAGTAACAGCGTGGTTAATCAGACCCTGATCCACCATGAGGCCTGATCTCAGACCAGGCCACAGGGGCATTGACCCCCAAAACCCTCTCCTTGTAAGCCAGCGTAATAGAACCAGGGCAGCATATTACCAAGACAGCTTAATAATAGTACCAGGATAGTGGAATAATATTACCATGATTCCTGATAGCATCATGGTAATATGATAATATTATCATGACAGACTGATAATATCATGCTGTAATGGCCTGACGAAGCTCCTGGAGAGTGAAACACTGCCACAATGAAATGTCACATTAGTTGCACATGTGTCCTTTTATCTAACATTTACAAATCCGGCATAAGCTTCTTTCTCCTATGTGTTGGTTATTTGTGTATTACCTTATTGTATTTTTAATTTCATTAAAGTATTGGGCAAAGTCACCGAGTTATCCTGATGGCAGGTTCAGCGACTTGTTAGAATGTAGCTATGGGTTATGCTATGAAACCCCTCAAGGAAGGTTCCTTGATGTTGGTGAGGGGCTCTTGATTTAGGGAATTGAATCTGTGCTCCAGTTCCCCGAATTAAGCCTGAATGCCTTACACATCCCCCCCCCCCCCCAGGCGCTGTATAATCCACCGGGTTTAGCGCTTCTCCCTTGATTATAATAATAATAATAATATGCTATGAAATTTAAATTAATGTTAAATTAGATTAGGCTAGGTTACATTAGGCTAGGTTCAGATTAGTAAGTTTATTCAGGTACAGGTACATAAATACAATTACATACATAAATTATCATACATAGGAGCATTTGTGTAGATTACCTAGAATAACCCAAGAAAGTCAGTGACTCATTTCCACTGGGGCTTAGAATTAGGGTAGATTAATTCTTGCTGGTAGTTTTACTAAATTTATATATGGGGGAATTTGTCAAGTAGGAAAATATCAGAGATTTCTTCTGGCTAGTCGAAGACATGGAAACATGAGTGAGATCACTGGCACATGCTACAATATTCACTCTTGTAAGTATTGTAGCAACATATACATAGAGAAGGTTAGTGGTCTAGCATCTAGTTTGCTAAATAGAAACCACCATTGAACTGCCTTGCTAGACATATCACAGCAATATATTTTTAATTTGCAGATTTGTGGTTTACATGTGAGTACAGCCTCTCTTCATTTAGCGATGTACTCATTTATCGACGACTCGGATTTACGACGAGCTCTCCGGCCAGTATGCACACCTAAGTAATGTATGTTAGAGCTGATTTCCTCTATTCTGTTCATTACAATATACAGTACACTACTGTATAAACATTTAAAAATATACCAGAAATGTTATAAATGGTGCAAAGGTGACATTAAAACAAACAATATTAACCCATAAATGGTCCAAACGTATATATACGTTTTTTCAACATTTGAAAGTACAGTGGACCCCCGCATACCGGACGCATTGCATAACATACAATCCGCATACCGGACGCTTTGATCGCTAAAATTTTGCCTGCATACGCCCAAAAACCCGCTACCACCCTTCGTCCGAGACGCGTCCAATGTGCGGCCTGAGCCAGCCTCACATGTGCCGCCGGTGGCATTGTTTACCAGCCAGCCTCCGCGGTAACATTCAAGCATACAATCGGAATATTTCGTATTATTACAGTGTTTTCGGTGCTTTATCTGGAAAATAAGTGACCATGGGCCCAGAAAGCTTCTAGTTCCAACCCTACAGCAATAAGGGTTAGAATTCCAATAGAGATGAAGAAAGAGATCATTGATAAGTATGAAAGTGGGTGTGTGTATCACCGACCTGGTCAGGTTGTACAAGAAACCCAAATCAACCATCCTTACTATTGTGGGCAACAGAAAGGCAATCAAGGAAGCTGTTCTTGCCAAAGGTTTAACTGTGTTTTCGAAACAGAGATCGCAAGTGATGGAAGATGTTGAGAGACTCTTATTGGTGTGGATAAATGAAAAAACAGCTAGCAGGAGATAGCGTCTCTCAAGCGATCATAAGCAAAAAGGCTAGGAAGTTGCATGAGGATTTAATTAAAAAAAGGCCTGCAACTAGTGATGATGTGAGTGAATTTAAGGCCAGCAAAGGTTGGTTTGAGAGATTTAAGAAGCGTAGTGGCATACATAGTGTGATAAGCATGGTGAGGCTGCCAGTTCGGACCACAAAGAGGCTGAAAAATATGTGCAGGAATTCAAGGAGTGCATAGACAGTGAAGGACTGAAACCTGAACAAGTGTTTAATTGTGATCAAACAGGCCTTGTTTTGGAAGAAAATGCCAAGCAGGACTACATTACTCAGGAGGAAAAGGCACTCCCAGGACATAAGCCTATGAAAGACAGGCTTACTTTGTTTGATGTGTTCAATGCTACTGGTGATTGCAAAAGTGAAGCCTTTATTAGTGCATCACTCTGAAACTCCCAGACCATTCAGGCAAAGAATGTCCTCAAGGAAAATTTGTGTGTGCTGTGGGGGCAAACAGTAAGGCATGGGTCACTAGGGACTTTTTCTATGACTGGTTACACCATGCATTTGCCCCCAATGTGAAAGATTACCTAACTGAAAAGAAATTAGAACTTAAGTGCCTCCTGGTGTTAGACAATGCCCCTGGTCATCCTACAGACGTGGCAGAGTGACTTTATGGGGACATGAAATTCATTAACATCAAGTTTTTGCCTCCTAATACCACTCCTCTCCTGCAGCCATGGACCAGCAGGTATTGCAAACTTCAAAAAACTGTACACAAAAGCTCTGTTTGAAAGGTGCTTTGTAGGACCTCAGAAACTCAACTGACTCTATGAGACTTTTGGAGAGATCACTTTAATATCCTCAATTGTATAAACCTTATAGGTAAGGCTGGGAGGGAGTGACTAAGAAGACCTTGAACTCTGCTTGGAAGAAACTGTGGCCAGAATGTGTAGACAAAAAGGGATTTTGAAGGGTTTGAGGCTAACCCTGAGAGGAGTATGCCAGTTGAGGAATCAATTGTGGCATTGGGGAAGTCCTTGGGGTTGGAGGTTAGTGGGGAGGATGTGGAAGAGTTGGTGGAGGACGACAATGAAGAACTAACCACTGATGAGCTGATAGATCACTTCAAGAGCAAGAGACCAGACCTGAGGAAACTGGTTCAAAGGAGGGGAGAGAGAAATTGAAGGAATTGCCTACTACAAGATTAAGGAAATGTGTGCAAAAATGGCTTGAAGTGCAAACCTTTTTTGATGAAAATCACCCTCCACACAGCTATTGCAAGCCGTGTTGGCAACCTGTACATTGACAATGTTGTGAACACTTTAGGGAAATCATAAAGGAACGAGAGGTACAGGCCACTATGGACAGATATGTTGTGCGAAAGAAGTCCAGTGACTCTGAAGCTGGTCCTAGTGGCATTAAAAGAAGAAGGGAAGTAACCCAGAAAAGGACTCGACACCTCAAGTCTTAATGGAAGGGGTATTCCCTTCTAAACACTAACACTTCTCTCCTCCTCCCATCCCATCAATCATCACCAGATCTTCAATAAAAGTAAGTGTCATGTAATTGTGCATGCCTTTTTAGTTTGTGTGTATTAAAATTAACATTCATGTGGTAAAAATTTTTTTTTTCATACATTTGGGTGTCTTGCACGGATTAATTTGATTTCCATTATTTCTAATGGGGAAAATTCATTCGCATACCGAACATTTCGCATAACAGCCAGCCCTCTGCACGGATTAAGGTCGCTATGCGGGGGTCCACTGTATTATGCTTCTTTACATTTTGTATTTTTTATTCACATAAAAAAATTAAGATTTACTGTTGTGCAGACTACTGCATTATTATAATAATTGTATAAATAATGTCAACCCATTTGTGACTGTGTATTAGACTGGCCAATGGACACAAATTGAACATGGGCAAAAATTGAACATTTCTGCTACTTTGAGCTCAATTTTCAAGGTACTTTTCATCGTGAGACCAATCAAAATCATCTCCATTTCTGTAATATATCTTCCATTCTATCAAATGAGACCAAGAAAAGAGAATAGAGCTGTAAATACCATACAAAAATACATCACAAAGTCACTGTTTTAACCAACAACACGGTCAGAGTTTTTTTTTTTCCTCATTGTGCACTGCGTGCTGCAGGATTTTTTTTTATATTGCGCACTGACCACGCAGACCCATTCTTTCATATGTAGGCCTACCAGCTTTCTTGCACCAGATTTTAGAACATAAGAACAATTCAAGGATTATGTGGGGTAAAATAAAGATTGGATGTGAAAAAGTGGGTTATAGTAAGCGTGTATGCACCTGGAGAAGAGAGAAGTGTAGAGGAGAGAGAGAGAGATTCTGGGAAATGTTGAGTGAATGCATGGGGAGTTTTGAATCAAGTGTGAGAGTATGGTGGTTGGGGATTTCAATGCTAAAGTGGGTAAAAATGTTATGGGGGAGTAGTAGGTAAATTTGGGGTGCAGGGGTAAATGTAAATGGGGAGCCTTTAATTGAGCTATGTGTAGAAAGAAATTTGGTAATAAGTAATACATATTTATGAAAAAGAGGATAATAAATTACAAGGTATGATGTAGCACGTAATGAATGTAGTTTGTTAGATTATGTATTGGTGGATAAAAGGTTGATGGGTAGACTCCAGGATGTACATGTTTATAGAGGGGCAACTGATATATCGGATCATTATTTAGTTGTAGCTACAGTTAGAGTAAGAGGTAGAGGGGAAAAGAGGAAGATGGCAACAACAAGTAAGAGGGGGTGAAAGTGTATAAACTAAGGGAGGAGGAAGTTCGGGCGAGATATAAGCGACTATTGGCAGAAAGGTGGGCTAGTGCAAAGATGAGTGTGGGGGGGTTGAAGAGGGGGGAATATTTTTAAAAAATGCAGTATTAGAATGTGGGGCAGAAGTTTGTGGTTATAGGAGGGTGGAGGCAGGGGGAAAAAGAGGAGTGATTGGTGGAATGATGAAGTAAAGGGGTGAAAAAAGAGAGAAAGGTAGCTTATGAGAGGTTTTTACAAAGCAGAAGTGTTATAAAAAGAGCAGAGTATATGGAGAGTAAAAGAAAGGTGAAGAGGGTGGTGAGAGAGTGAAAAAGGGAAAGAGCAGATGAAAGAGTGGGAGAGGCACTGTCAAGAAATTTTAATGAAAATAAGAAAAAATTTTGGAGCGAGTTAAACAAGTTAAGAAAGCCTAGGGAAAGTATGGGTTTGTCAGTTAAAAACAGAGTAGGGGAGTTAGTAGATGGGGAGACGGAGGTATTGGGTTTGATGGCGAGAATATTTTGAGGAACTTCTAAATGTTGGGAAGAAAGGGAGGCGGGTAATTTCATGCACTGGTCAGGGAGGTATACCATCTTTTAGGAGTGAAAGAAGAACAGAATGTAAGTGTGGGGGAGGTCGTGAGGCATTACGTAGAATGAAAGGGGGTAAAGCAGCTGGAATGATGGGATCATGACAGAAATGTTAAAAGCAGGGGGGATATAGTGTTGGAGTGGTTGGTACTTTTGTTTAATAAATGTATGAAAGAGGGGAAGGTACCTAGGGATTGGCGGAGAGCATGTATAGTCCCTTTATATAAAGGGGAAAGGGGACAAAAGAGATTGTAAAAATTATAGAGGAATAAGTTTAAATGAGTATACCAGGAAAAGTATACAGTAGGGTTATAATTGAAAGAATTAGAGGTAAGACAGAATGTAGGAAATTTCGGAAAGAGCGGGAGGCTTCAAATGGGTAGGGATGTTTTAGATCAAGTGTTTACATTGAAGCATATATGTGAACAGTATTTAGATAAAGGTAGGGAAGTTTTTTTTGCATTTATGGATTTAGAAAAGGCATATGATGGTTAGTTAGTTTATATGTTTATTATGCACCCCTACCCCTCCTGTGGGCGGTAGTCAAAAGATTACAGAGGTACATAATTGGTCCCGGGACTGGGCCTCAAAGTTTTGATAGCTGAGCAAGTTACAGAGGGTAATTTAATTCACAATTTACAAAGGTAAGGAAATCACAATTTACAAAAGTAATGACTCCAGGTAGGTCTAGTCACAATCATGACAAGTTACAAAGGTATTTACAGATTACAGAGGTACACAATGGGTCCAGGGACGGGCTCCAAAATTTTGATGGCTGAAATAGGAAATA